GAAGGATCATCTATCTTGACTGCCATGTACCAGGAAATCTTAAGTGTACAAATGAATATACACAAATCTAACATGATCAATGAGGTATATCGCATATGGACCATAATAGTTAGGGGAGGAAATCTTAAAGAACTAAGGGATAGTTAGGTGGTTCCTCAGTGCCACTCCGCACCCTGGGATTTATCCTCCGTCTGTGAGGCCCTTCTAAGAGGGACTGTCCAATTATCTTGCTGGTGGACTTTGAGTCTCCACTACATGCAGTCCCCTTCATATCAATTTGGATGTATTTTTTTTGAACTTCTGATACCTCTTCCCATCGTCCCTCATGATCACACAGGCTGGTGTCCTTCTTCCTTGTGGGCTTTATTGCTTCTCTGCTAGATGGCCATTTGTTTAACTCCAAGCCTTTAAGACCCCAGACATTATAGCTTTTGATATCCAGGCACCATCAGCTTTCTTCACCACATTTCCTTATGCACCCATTTTGTCTTCAGCAATTGTGTCAGGGAGGTGGGTATCATACCATGCCACATTATTAGAACAAAGCCTTCCTGTTCAGAACTAAAATTTAAGTAGAAGCCCAAAGTCCATCTGTTTCCTTGTTGCATTTACATAGGCTGAGATTCTGATCCTGGGATTAGAGCACCATGTTGTTATCTTCCTTGCTTTCCCACAGGCCTGGTACTGACCCACCTACTCTGACCCATCTTTGTGTGTCAGTTCTGTTCACTCAGACCTTCCTGAGTCTGAACACAATGCAGGTCCATTACATGGACCTTTTTCGTTCTCTTTCATTGTATCCTTCATAATTTGCTCCTTGGAGTATTTGGTTCTCTCACTTAATGAGACTAATAGTAGACTTCTACCAGGAAGACAATTATCAAACATTTTGTGTCTATGTCAAGGGAAAAGTATTGGGAGGTGAAGGATTCCGTTAATAGGTGACCTTGTTTGGATGAGTAGTACATTTGTGACACGCGTGTCCATAGATAAAGAAACGGTGCTCTCACCAGTGAGAGCAAGGAACCTGTCTGACATCTTGAATGCTTTAGACTCAGCACCTACGTTAGCTCCGTGTCCAGTCATGGCAGTAGGGGTGCACTGTGGAGGGGGTGGGGGCTAGGGTGGAGGTGTCATCAAATAAGTTGTCATCAAATCAGCTCTGAGTCATGGGCTTTGTGTATCAAATAAGTTCATGGTAGTCACTCAGTAAGCTCTTGTTGAATAAATAGTGTGTTTGTAGATTGACTATCATTGAATGTTAGAGGGTTTTTGTTTGTTTTTGTTTTTTAGGAAACTGATATAAATTTGCACAAAAAATATTATACTTTCCTAAAATGTACCTTCTAATGAGGCTGATGATGTCCAAATCAAAGGATACATACTGATAGAAGGCGCATCTTCCTCCCCTAAGTTGTTTTTGCTGACCATATGTCCAGCGGTGCCTTGTCTGACTGTTCAGCCCGTCTAATATCTACTGGAGCTATTCAGAAGCTGCCAGGGGGTGATGGTGCCTTAATATCACTTATTTGCTACAACTCAGATTGCTATCACATACTGAGTTCCCTGAACACTCAGGTGGCCGCAGCCCCAGAATCACTTCTAGACAGAAATCCTGATGGCCGTAACGGATCTCGCTCCCTTTCCCCAAGTTCACCGATCTCTTCAGAGGAGAAGAGTTGAGACTTTATTCTAGGGCAGATTTGACATCCATTCTACTGATAGTTTGAATCAGAAAATTCTTTGTTATTTGGAGGAAACCCTTGGGAGACCTGCTACCCCTGTAGGGTTGCTTTGACGCAGTGTTGACTCGACAGTGGTGGGTTTGGGTTTGGGTTTGGGTTTGGCAAACCAAAGAAAACAGCGATGACACTAATAACAAGTGACCCAACAAACCCCTATGGTCTACCGAGGAGTGGCCAATGAAGTTTTAGCTCACATCCAGCTCACAGTAGGCCCTGTGGGGCTCCAAACCCATCCAATAGTTAATTCTCTAGTTCATCAATAAATATGTGAAATAGACATACTCAATAATTGGCAGGATCCCTAATTCCCTGATTTCACTGTTGTTGATGTTAAGTGCTACCAAGTCGATTTCAGTAGGATAAAGAACTTTCCCATAGGGTCTCATTGACTGTCATCTTCCTGGAAACAGAACACCAGTCATCACTGGGTGGGTTTTCCCTGCCAATATTTAGGTTGACACTGAGCCACCCAGGCTCCTTCCAATGTCTCTAGACAAAGCCGAGTGTCCCTTGAGGGGCTAACCTGTCTCCGGTTGAGAGCCACTGATGTAGAGGACTTTGCTTAAAATCACCAAAGTTTGACTTTGCAAACATCAGAAAATAATACTGGCAGGAGAGGACTTGGTAATCATCTGCCCTTGGCAATAGCACAGGGGTTACTCTCACAGATGGATGAACAGATATTCAAGTTTCTCCACAATGAATGAGTTCCCCAGATGTGGATCTCAGTGTCCTTTTTAGCCTCCCCATTTATCTCACACCCTATCCAAGTCTAAGAAACAAGAGCTAAGATGCTAACAGAAGATCCTGGGACCCAGAATCAACAACACTCCTTAAGAAACTGCTGTATCAGCACCCCTCCCCACTCGCCTGCTAATATATCTACTTTCTCATTTAATCCTCATAGTAGCCACTAGAAAGTTCTCTATCTTTCTTTTACCAGTGAACAAACCAGGCACAAATTTAAACAGTCAAGTGGACTGTTTACTATTTTGGAATTGTAAGCAGGTTTTCTAATGTTATTAAAATGATTATTGTATCCTATTGTTCAAATCTGATCAATAGCTTCTTGAAATTTAATCACTTTCTGCTTGCAAATGTAATCAAAACCTCCGTGAAACTGTCGAGCTCCTTGTTGGTGAATGAGAATGGGGTTAGGAGACTGTAAAAGCAAGATTCTGGAGCCATAGACGGAGCCCCTGGATGGTGCTAACCTAAAGGTTGATGCTTAAGAGGCTCTCTGCTTCTGGAGAATCAGCCCTTACAAATCCAATGAAGCACAGGTTTCTGATTCACATGAATCACCAGGGGCAACTCAAAGACACCTATCTTTTTATAGAGCCATCGAATATTAGGAAAGAGGGTGGAGGGAGCTGTCAGGCTCCATTAGCCTGTGCTCACCATGAGGTCAGCATCTAGGACCTCTGCAACACCCAAGGCAGAAGAGGTCCCTACACTGATGGAACTCAAGATTCTAAGACATCAAGAGAGTAACAGAAGGTGATAAGAGCTGTGGGATAAATGAGAAGTGAAAGGAGATGAGGAACAGTTGGAGGGAGGGAGCTTCTGTACATAGCATCGTCAGGGAGATTGTCTTTGATCCTGACATCTCCCCCAAACACTGGACTTCCAGCACCTCCCTAAAAAGTTGTTGCTTCTCCACCTTGAATGCCTTTGGCTGCTGTCTGGTTGTCGTCAACTCATGGTGACCTTATGCATAACAGAATAAAACGTCTGCTCCTGCACTCTCTTCACAAGCCCATGGTTGCAATTACTGCACCCAGTCATGTTATTGACACTTTCCTTGGTTCTCCCTGGCCTCCCATTTGACTAACCCTGAGGTGCCTTTCTCTAGCCATTGGTGGGATCGAGTAGATGTCACCCAAAACTTGGTTAGATGAAAGGATCATAGTGTTTCTATCTCTGTATTCTCAGAATTCTGAACCCGTGTGGTGAGTGTCTTAGTTTTCCTTTACTGCTGTAACAAATTACCCTGAACTTTGTGGCTGTGGTGTGTTGTGTGTAACCATGTAGTTAGCAGTTCAAAACCCCCAGCTGCTGCTCAGGAGGAAGAGGAGGCTTTCTACCCTGGGAAAGCTTTCTCGTCTCAGAAACCCACAGGGGCAGTGGTGCTCTGTCCTGTCGGGTTGGAATAGGAATCAACTCAATGGCGGTGAGTTTGGTTTTGGTTTGGGGGGAGGGGGATTAAATTGATTAATTTGTTAATGTAATCACACAGTCTAAAAGAAAAGTGTCAGCAGGCCTGCATTCCTCCGGGAGACCTTAAAAAAGAATCCATTTCCTTGGGTTTTTTAGCTTTAGGAGGCTGTCTGCATTCGTTGGCTTGTAGCTCCATCTCCCCATCTTCAAAATCAGCACAGCAGTGTAGCATCTCCAAATTTCTCTTTGTCTCTGACTTTTCTGCCTCCTCTCATAAGAATCCTGGTGATTATATTGGGCTCACCCAGGTGACCCAGAGTAATCTTCCCATAGTAAGACCCTTAATTTAGTCACCTCTGCAAAGGCCCTGTTGCCTTAAAGGGTAACAAACTCATAGGTTCCACAGACGAAGATACTGTCGGGGTCCATTACTCAGCCTACCAGAATAAGCAATATGTGTTCATTCTAGTCCCATGCCCATTTTATTTTATGTTTGTAAAACTTGAGAAGGAAAATGAGTTAACTAGAATTGTATACTTGGCTATAGCCTTAAACCTGGTCACCCCAACTAAGTAGACTCTATCCTATCTGAGAACCCTGCTATTTTCCTTCATAACATTCATCGCAAATTTCACTAGTTTATTTTTTATACTGTTTACCTGTTACTGCAAGGACAGGTTACCATGAAGTGTAGCATCACACAGGTCTATGCCTGACACACAGTGTACACATCAGTGAAACTTTTTAAATGGTAGAGGCTACCAGTCTTTAGAGGAGCAGACAGCCTCATCTAGCCCTCTCAGAGAAGCTGGTGGATTCGACTTTTCAGTTAGCTGCCCAACGCATAACTCACTGTGCCGGCCAAGCTCCTTCACATTTACCTTAATCTTCCCTAATGAAGACAGTGTCTGGTCAAGGATGTTTTAAATCCAATACCCTTTTATCGTACTAAATAATATACATTCCTCTATGGATGTTATTGAAACAACAAGGCTAAAAAATAGAGCAAGTTAAAGCAAGATGTGGCCTCTCTTAACATCGCTTTCAATATCCAGATCCTTAACCCCACTTGAAATATATTTCTTTTGATTCTAGTGGCCAAGGATGTCAATATTCTGTTTGATGAATTAGAAGCTGTCAACAGTCCTTGCAAAGATGATGATTCTCTGCTGCATCCTGGGAACCTGACCAGTACTTCCGATGATGCTAGCAGATTGGAAGCAGGAGGAGAGGTAAGAGTGTGTGATTTCTTACAAATATAACTCATTGGTCCGGGTGGGAATCTGTGAAGTACGTTCCGGCGGACTGTTTAAAGATACTATCAGTGAACTGTTGTTGCTTATTGTTGTCAAGTACTACTATTTATAGATATTTTCAATATTGTTGCTCATCGTTATCAAGTCGGCTCCCATTCTTGTAAGCTTTACATATAATAGGACAGAACATTGCCTTGTCCCATGTCAACTTCACAATCATTGTTATGGGTCAATGAGTCCATTACTCTGACAGTTGTGTTGATCTATTTCATTGACAGTTTCCCTCATTTTTCAACCACTGCCTGCTCAAGCAGACAGGATATCCTCTTTCAGTCATCAGTCTTTCCTTATGTAAGCTGGTTCAAGTCTCGGCATCCCCGTTTCTAAGGAGCCTTCTGGTTATGTTGCTTCTAGCAGTTCACAATATATTCGGCATTCTTTGCCAACAGCACAATTCAATTTCTTTGAAAATAAGGGGCAGCGTGTATATTTCTTTGGTCTCCCTCAGGAGGCTAGCACATTTCATGAATACTAAGCTCAAAGAAAATGTTCAGTGGGTTGTCCTCTTTTTTCTTCTTCTTACATCTAAAGACATTTCATTTAGGTAAGATTCCTAAAAACACCCATCATTTGAAGGTTCTCCACATTCTGGGTGTCAGCAACTAGTATTACATAAGCTCTGCAAGGTGAGGCCTCCTTTTATAAATCGACAGCATGTTGAAAAGTGCCATAGAATCGGCTTCAGTAGATTCTATTGGCTGAAGCCTCTCTGAGTTTCCATTCAATAGCCAGAATCCTCTTTGGAAATGAGGGTGGTGAAACATCATCTCACATACTTCGGACAATGTGTTAGTCTGGGTAGACTAGAGAAACAAGTATCTAGACACTCAGGTGTGTAAGAAAGAGCTTTATATAAAGAGTAATTGCACATTAAGAAAACATCCCAGCCCAGTCCAGATCAAGTCCATAAGTCCTATATCAGCCAATGTGTCTGATACGAATCTATAAAATCCTCTTCAAACTTACGAAACACATGCAATGATGCCAAATGCAGGAAGATCGCAGGCCAATGGGTGGGAAATCTTGTGGATCCAGTGGCAGTGTAAGCATCTCAGCGTTGGCTGCAGTCTCCATGTAGCTTCTCCAGCTCCAAGGCTCTGGGTGCCATCAGCATGTCTCCATGTGGCTTGTCATCTGCAGTGTCTCCCAAGGAGTGACCCTTGTCAGAAGAGAGTCTCCAAGGGAGTGAGCCAAGAGAGTGTGTCTCCCACCTCCAAGGTGAAATACAGGAGGTCCCAGAAACCTCAGGAGAAGGCCATGTCCACACAGAGGCCTCATTGGCCTGATTGACAGGCTAGACTCCACCACTTCACTCTTAATCCTCTCAAATTGGCAAACGCTTATATAACTACCACAGATAATTATATGGAACTTCATTATAATTACTGTGTAAATAAACTCATCTGTTGCTATGTAATTTTATTAAAAGAAATATTTTGTTAGAGGCATTCACTATTTCTCAGGTGTATTTCAGTGGAGTTTAATATCTTGTTTATAAATACACTGAGTATAGGTAGTAGAAACATAATGTCAGAGTAATTTATGCATTGTATACTCACAACCACGAAAATTGAAGAAAAGACTGATGTTGTCCAGGATCTTCTTTGGGTCCATACTCAATGTCCATGGAAGCAGCAGTCAAGAAATCAAACAATGGAATGCCTTGTACACAAGACCCCTTTAAAACCTTAAAGAGCCAGGTTAGCACGTTAAAGATGAAGGTCCAGCTGACTGCACATGTGGTATTTTCAGTTGCCTGAAAGCTGGACAGTGCATAAGAAAGACGGAAGAAAAATTGGAACATTGGGATTATGACACTGGTGAACAATATTGACAATACCATAGACTACCAGAAGAACAAACAAATCATTCTTGGACGAAGTACAGCCAGAATCCCCACATACTTTGGTCAGGAATCAGGAGGGACCAGTGCCGGGAGTCAGACATCGTGCTGGTAAAGTAGAGGGTCAGTGAAAAAAGAGGAGCCCCAAAACCAGATGAATGACACAGTGCTACAACAAGAGCTCAAATGTAACACTTGTGAGGATGGTTCAGGACCCACCGTGTTTTGTTCTGATGTACATGGATCTCGATGAGTCAGAATTTATTAGATAACACCTAACAATGATGAATGATGTTTGTGCTGTTCCAGAACCAAGTAACCATTGAAGGATGACGTCTTTGAAAAGAGAGACTTGTACCCTTGCTTCTAGCAGGCTTCCCAGCCCTGCCACTCTCCCCTGCCCCCCCCCCCCCACACACACACGCAAATAACACTCTACTATGCATGGTTGGGGGTTGTTTTTAGAAATAAAAATGCGTTCTCTAATCCCTTCAGACAGATGTTTTAGATGCCATATTGTATCATGAAGGGGACCTTGCTTAGCACCTCAGAAAGCAATGAATCTCATCCGTTAACATTGTTGCTGCTGTTAATTATCTGAGAGCCGACTATCACCCCTAGAATCCCCTGTAGAACCGAATGGAACATTGCTTGGTCCTGTGCCATCTTCATGACCATTGGTATGCCTGAGGCCACTGTGTAGCCACTGTGTATTTTGACTGACTTCCGTCTGTATTGAACAAAATATCGTTGTGCCCCATACACATTTTCATTCTGTTCACTGGGTAATTTTCAAACATTGGTCAGTAGACCTTCTTAGCCCACATGGTCTAGGAGCTCTGTTAAAACTGGCTCACCATGGATGACCCAGTTGGTGTTGGAAATTCCAGTTGGCACGACTTCTTATATGATAGCAACACACAAGTCCAGACAGCGTGATGATCCATCAGACAAGTGGTGACCTCTTCACTTACAGCTGTGGGCACAGACTCTGAAAGATTATAGATTTGTTGCGATGACACAATTCATGGTTCTTCCCAGGAAGCCAAACGTCCTCCTAATACCTTGGTGAAGCCCTGTTTTTAACGGCAGGTGCTGATGTGCTAAGTCCACAGGATAGCTTCTGTGCTGGGCAGACAATTGTTAGGGAAGTGTTTGTTCAGGTAGCCTCCTGAGTGCCTCTTTATGCAAAAGCCAGAAAAAAGACAGTGAGAATTGTTCATCTATTGAAAACGTCTGCAGCCCGGCCTGGCCCACTGGGGCCCTGTCGCTGCAGGCTGAGTTCCCTTTCAGAAGAGGCAGTGTGCAGGGCACTTGTACATTTTACCAATGGCTTTGAAGGCCTGGCATGTTTGCTTTCTTCATAAGACTCTTAGAAACTAATATATTCTGTGCCCTAGAGCAAAGGGAGCTTCTTCATTTCTACTCAGCCAGGTTTGCACAACGTTTTGGAAATCTATCAGCCTGTGGAACCTGGCTTCAGACTCGTGGGCCCAAATGTGGTAGTTTGTTTAAGTGTTGCCATGAGCCTAAGAAGCCTGAACAAAAATTCATCCTAATTTCCTTGTGCTTCTCTTTTTTTATATGTGATATTTGCTTTTTGCAGAATATTTGTAATTTATATTAATTATACATTATCATCATAAAAATGAATACCTTGAATTTATGAACAATGGTGATATTTTCCCAATCGTGGTAATAACCTAAAGGTCGGCTGTGAATTTTAATTACTCTGTAACAGAACGAAATGGCCCTAGTGCAGTGGTTCTCAACCGTCCTCATCCCACGACCCTTTAATACAGTTCCTCATGTTGTGGTGACCCCCCCAACCATAAAATTATTTGTGTTGCTACTTCATAACTGTAATTTTGCTACTATTATGAATTGGGTGACCCTTGTGAAAGGGTCATTCGACCCCCAGGTTGAGAGCCACTGCCCTAGTGGCTGTGTCCAATAAGCATTGCACTGCTAGCCACAAGGCTGGAGATTCAAAACCACCTGCTACTCCATAGGAGAACAATGAAGCTGTCTCCTCCCATAAAGATTTACAACCTTGGAAACTCTATGGAAGGTTGCTTTGAGTTGGTCTTGACTCACTGGTAGTGGTTTTATTTATTTATTTTGGTATGCAAGTAGAAAGGTTGGGTATTATTTTGTGACACTTTCATCCCAAATACAGTATATCTATCTCTCTGTGTGTGCATGTGTGCATACGCGCATGTACACATAAATAACAAAATAAAGTGTTTTCTAACGTGGGCAAAAAGTTTTAGAAGCCTCAAACTAGACTATCATTAAAACCATTTAAGCTAATGATAGTCCCATTCACTATGCTTCCAAAGGTAATCTTTATGAATTTTTGCATTTAAAAAAATTGTCTTGCTCAAAAATACTTTTAGCACATATGTTCAGAGCCTTACGTTTTTATTTTTAAATGTGTCTTTTTTGGGGCTCTGTAAAGAATGGTGTCATATAACAGGAAACCTTTTGTGATTTTCTGACTTCTTAGCCAGTTAGATATGACCGTGGTTTACGCACATTCCTGTAGATAGCCCACTCTGTAACATACTCAATTTATTTATTTGCCCATGTAAAATTTTGAACTAGTTTCCATTCTGCTATTGTGAAAAACGCTGTAATGAACATTTAGATGTATATATGTACACACACGGGTTTCAAAAATCTGATGGAAAAAATCCATTATCTTTTCATTGTATTTTTCCATGAGTGTTTTGAATCTCCCTCATGTGTTTATATAATATATATTTACTTATATATAGTTTATGTACATGTATGTATATATAAATATATATGTATATATACATTCACATATATGCATTCATGACAGCATTGTTCAAAATAGCGGAATGCCAGGTTACATAAACCAAACTCATTGCTATCAAGTCAGTGCTGATTGATAGCAACCCTCTCTGGGCTTCCTAGACCTTAGCTATTTCTGAGAGTAGAAAGCCCATTCTTTCTCCCTCAGAGCTCCTGGCGGTTTCCAACTGCCAACCATGCGGATCACAGAGCAACGCATAACCACCACCCCACTTGGGCTTCTAATATATATATACTTGGGCTCCATATATATATGATAGTTTCTCTGTGACTGTGTATTATGCAAATGTTAACTTTTAAGAGATCATGCCAGTGTGTTCTTCAGAGAGAGAGCATCAATTTTCACCCTCACCTATAGAAAATGATTGTTCTCCATTGTCCCACATACATTGTCCAACACTTGATGTCGCTGCATGTCTTAAGTTTTACACATTTGAGTCTATCCTTTTTGCCAGTTTTTATTTTGTTTCTTCTTCCTTGTATTGTTCACTAATAGAAATGTAATTTTAAATAAAAGAAACAGAAAATAAAATCTTCCTTTTTTTTTTTTTTTTTTTTAAGATGAGTTACCCGAAGCTGTTTTATGTGTGGCTTAAACGGATCCCTTTCTCTCTGTGTGCAGACGGTGCCGGAAAGAAGCAAGTCAAATGGACTCTATTTCAGAGATGGAAAGTGTCGAATCGACTACATTCTCGTGTACAGAAAATCCAACCCCCAGACTGAAAAGAGAGAAGTATTTGAAAGAAATATCAGAGCAGAAGGATTACAAATGGAGAAAGAGGTAACTAGTTTGCTTGGATGAGGGAAAAAAAATTCATGATGGTTTATAAATTCAGAACTCTCCATCTGAAGAAGCCATTAAAAAATAAGCAAGCAGTCGGTATGTTGACTGCAAGTTTCATCTGGTTGGGGTTTGCTGATCCTCGGTGCTTGGGAAACGCACCAGCAATTAGGTTTAGGTGGCACAGTTTGTCTTTCAGAGGTTTCAATGTCAAACAACTCCCAGAGAATCCACACACCTTGGTCCAATGACAGAGATTGTTTCACGGCGTTCTTCTCTACCCTGCTTCCTATGTGAGCTGTGCTCTGCCTTATGAAAGGCGGGTTTCATTTGCATGGATTTTGAGAAAACTTAGCATAAAATGCAACCACTTCTTTCCAGAGGCTCTTTTTACAAATTCTGTGAAACGCAGTGAGCTTGGCAGCCTCATATACCAGAAGAGCCTGGCTGATTTGGCCAGAAACAACTGGAGCTTCCAGAAGGATTCCAGTTGTCGGTAATATTCTATTTGTTTTATCCAGTTTGCAAGCTCAGAAATTATTCTGCCAGTGTTTGCTCTTCCCTCTTTGTGTTCCTCTCTGTATGAAGTTTTATTTCTATTGTATTTTTTATCATAAAGCTGAAGTAAACATTTTGAATTTGCATGGGAATGTTTTAATGGGAGACTTCAGGAAAGAAGCTATGGAAGGGCCAGCCAGCCCTCTGATCATAGACTATGATGAGATTGTTGTGTACCCAGAAATACTGCACACATAGACCATGACTCCGTGAACCGAATTACAAACCACTTCTCAGATGTTCCTCCAAACACTGAGCAGATTGTCTACCTTTTTTTCATAGGGAAAAATAAGAAAATATTGGCCATTAGTGATATCTATTTCTGATTCTGCCCCCCAAGACTTTGCAATTGATCTTTGGGCCCAGGCATCCATATTTTTCTTGGTAATGAGGCAGGTGGTGTGAAGTGTCCTGGCTTTATGAAGAAGAGGTGTGACCCCGCTACTCCTGCTGATCTTGAGACACTGCAGACAAAGGGGATGTTTCCAGGTCTGTTGGAATGACCTCAGCTCTTACTAATTCCTTCACCCTTTCTTCTTGTTCCTAAGCTTCAGCTTTTACTTGAAGAAATAATAGATCTGACTTGCTACATAACGTGAAAGAATGAAGGTTCTGTCTGATCTATTCCAACTATCAAAACTAGATAACTTTGTTCAGTTAAATTATATTTATATTTTAAGCTTTATAACAATTCTAATCCATGGGTTTCTTGTGTAGGGGTCTTTTCAATGTCATTTTATGACTTATTAGTTAAAATTCAAAAGCTTAATGTTACTCCAAATAACAGACATGACTAAAGAGATGATAAGTCGTCTATTGTGCATGAAAGCAGGTAGCTGGGGAAGAGCATCGTGCCTGTAACACAGTTATGCTGCTCGATGCAGAGCTGATCTTGACATAAAGGTAGACTAACTACTTGTAGGATTTGGGTTATAGACAACCAATTTAGTAGACAAGTAATTTTGCTTGGTCATAACTTTTTATATGTTTAATGTTATTTTCCATTCTTTTTGAGTTAACTGATGCACAGCACATTTATGCATATATAGAGATTGAAACAGCATCAGGTCCTGTGCCATCCTGACAATTTTTCGGTTTGAGCCCCTTGTTACAGCGATGGTGTCGTGCGATGTTTGTTTTTGCAGACCCGCTACTTTACCAAGCGTGATGTACTTTCTAGCTGCTGATTTTTACTGATTATGTGTCCAAATGAAGCTAGGCGAAGTCTCAGCACCCTTGCTTGTAAGGAACACTTAGTGTATTTCTTCTAAAAATGATTTGCTTGTTTGCAATAGGGTTGGTCTATTCAATATCCTTCATCACCACCGTATTGCAAATGCACTGATTCTTCAGTCTTCCTTACTCCTTGTCCAGCTTTTCCATGCATCTGAGGCGATTGAAAATGCCGTGGCTTGGATCTGGCATACTTTAGTCCTCAATGTGATATCTGTGCTCTTGAACACTTTAAAGAGGTCTTTGGGGGTAATAGATTTTGCCCCATGAAATACATTGTTTGGTTCCTTTACCACAGCTTCCATGAACATTGACAATTGCCCCAATTTGAATGAAATCCTTGATCATTTCCATTTCTTCTCCTTAAATTTTGATTGCTGAGTATTGATTTATCTTTAGGAGCCCTGGTGGCGTACTGCATTACAGGTCAGCAGTTCAAAGCCATCAGCCTCTGCAGGAAAAAGAAGAAGAAGATAAGACTTTCTGCTCCTGTAAATAGTTATAGATTCAGAAACCCACAGGGGCATTTTGACTCTGTCCTATTAAATCCCCGTGAGTTGGAATCAACTCAATGGCAGTGAGTTGTTGATTGTTGGAGGTATTTATTTTTACGGTTCAGTACAATAATTAGCAGTAGGATAAAGGGTGATAACACCATATAGAAAAGAAAGTGAAAACTATCTAACCTCTCGACCCCCTGAAAGTTGTTTTGCTTATGGAGAAAGACGTGCCAGTCTGCTTCCATAAAGATCCAGCCTTGGAAACCCAATGGGGCGGCTCTGTTCTGTTCTGGAAGCCACGTGAGGGCTACAGGGGCACCAGACAAAGGTTTCTCCTGGGCAGCAGCTTCTCCCTGTCTTCTTTTTCCTGCACTGTCTCTATGTACTACCAACAGCCAGGAGGTCGTTCCTCAGAAACTTCTTCACGCGCAGGCTTCACACTTGCATGGCCTCCCCACTCGTTTCCTACGGGAACAGGTGAGCTTTTCCTCGGCCTCGGGCTTCATTTTCGCTTCATGTCCTCGCAGCCTCAACCAGCTCAGCAAGGAGGCTCTTTGCGGGCTCTTCTCTGCTCAAAAGGCAGCAGGGAAGTGTAGACCTATTGATAGTTCCTTGTCACAAATAATGAAAATAAACCTACTTTGTGTTTTTAGTTTGAAAATCCACCAAGAAGCACTTCTGTTTAAATCAAACTTTTTGTAAAAACAACCTCAAGGAGACCAAAATTTTAATAGCCATTTGCACTTCCGGAATTTACCGCAACTTTTCCTAGTACACAAAACAAAGAAGTTGGTTCAAGGTGGGAAAGAAAAACCCCAAGGAGCTTAGGGTGAATTGTTCACCTCTGCGAGTACTCACACTACATACATTTCAAGTACGCTGTCCTCCCTGCGCTGTGCGTAAAGACAGGCTCTGTTGCTGAACAGTTTGGCTAAAACAGTCTTATTTCTTTTAACATTGAAGGTCATGAAACCCCACTAGGAAAATCTTAATTTATGATAAAAAGGAGATAGTCAAATTTCATTTTTCTTAAAGCCTTTGCCCCCCTCCTGATTAGTCAGCAAGTAAGTGCAATTATATGTATTTATGTAAATAGATTTTAATATCATGCAATTTAGGAATTTCTTAAAGCAATTCACAGCAAAGTTGCCAAATAAAGTGTCATTAAGTCAAAGAGACATACTTCTTAGTAGCTGTCCATTTAAAGAGATCCATTCTTAAGGGTAAGCCCATATTTAATCGTTCATATTTTAGTTTTATAAAAGTTATGTAGTTATGCCTTTATGTTAATCTATAAGATTTATAAATATGTATTTATAAATTCACACAGGAGAGGGATTCAAAAAGTTCAGGGAAAAAATGGAAATAAAAGATAATGGAATTTTTCCAGGAACTTTTTGAAGCCCCTCATATATGTCATGCTCAATTCTGTGCCCATGATTGATGCTTTGATGGATGTTTTGAAATTATTATCATTAGGAAGAAATTTTTCTTTCATATAACTTGTCAAATCATAGATGCCTTTTGTATTACTTGGAATCTATAAGTAATAGTTGTGTTGATGGATTACCCTCCCCCTTTAGAACCATGCAGAATATAGGAGAAGACCTATTATTATGCTCATGACAAAATAACTGTAATTAGGCTGATCATATCCTTTTGATGAACATTCACTCCTTCAACAAATAATTAGCGTATGCTCACTCTGTACAGTCATTGCTCTACTAGAAAACTCAGCAGTGAGCCGAGCACACAGAGCTCCTTGCCTATGCAGAATAAATAAGTGTAATCTATAGCATACCGAAAATTGCTGAGCAAACAGCAGGTAAAGGTTAAGAAAGGTGGGCCTCTTTTCTGGTCAGAGAAACCAGTTGAGTGCAGCATCCCTGAGCCCGGAGCGTACCAAATGGAAGTCAGCAGACCAGTATGATGAGTCCATTGAGCAAGGTGAAGAATAATGAGAAAATTCCAGGGAGGCCATAGAGCTCAGGTGCTGTGGGGGCTCCGCAGTCACTGGGGGGACCTTGGCTTTTCTCTGAGTGGCATGGGAAGCCACAGTATAGTTTTGACTATGAGTTTAGGACACGAGAACGCCTGGTTTATATTTTATGAGGGTCTCTCGACCTGGGAAGGAAGAAGGTTCCCAGGATAGGAAAAGGAAGGTTGGTTAGACTCATTGCTAGAATACAAAAAAGAGATGATGGTAGCTTGGTCTTGCATGACGGTGCCGATATTGAGGAGAATGGGCAGTTGAGCTGGTAGGAGTTGCAGACAGATTGAACGAAGGGTCAAGAGGGAGGAGTCACAGGTGTTGTTAGGTGCCATGGAGTCGCTTTCGACCCACAGTGACCCTGTGCACCACAGAAGGAAACAGGGCTCGGTCCTGCGCCCTCCTCACAATGGTTCCTGTGCTTGAGCCCGTTGTGGCCACCACTGTGTCTGTCCATCTCCTTACGGGCTTTCTTCTGTTCCACAGGCTATTTTCAGTGTTTGTAAGAAAATAGCTGTGCTTCACTGAGATGCAGAGAGGAGTGGGTGCCGTTGTAGACACAGCAAGTGTGAGGTGCTCCAGTGAAGGCACTGAACAGGAGGCAGAGGCTGGCATGCCGGGAGAGAGCCAGGCTGGGACTCGGCACTGGGATGAGATCCCCGAGCCACGACTGCAAATAGAGAACAGATAAGGTCCAAGGATCGAGCTGTGGGACACAC